ATTTGTAAAAGTTACGAATGAAATGTCATTAGTTATATTTATGTAGTGTTGCTGTAAATATTAAAAAATTTAATTATGGTACGGAACCGAACGGAACCGAACCCAAACGGTTCCATAATTATATTTGAATCCGACAGTTCCATTTATTAAATATCCGAAAATTTTGAATCGATTCGGCTCGGTTGAGCCGAACCGAACCGACCCATGTCCAACCCTAACAGTGGTGATGTTTAATGGTTCTAGAAATTTGTGCAATGATTTGAGATTTTAAGTTAAGAAATCATTCGAAACTGTAAGAGCTAAACTTGCATTGAGTAAATCCATTAAAATTTTTTGAGAGATAGAGATGGAGATGGAATTTCATATTTTCATTACATTTATAGATGAATTCACGCATTTCAGTTGTGCCTCTGATTTTCATAAGTTGAGAACATTATTGAATGTGATGAGATTTGAGATAATACGGTCCTATTTATGTATTTTCTTTTGGAAAGATTATTGGTTAACTGCAATGCGGCACTTAATATTAGTATATTCAGAATATATAAACTTTGGAAAGATAGATAATAAAAATATGGGTTGTCTTAGACTTGTAAACGATTATATAAGTTCTTAATAATGAGTTTGGGAATATGAGTCTATTAAGAATGAGATGAATCTCTGAGATATACATAACAATCCAAAAAGGTATTTAAGCAAGATTTTGGATGGATATTGGGTCACAAGATGTGATATTTGACATTTTTTTCTAATAGGGGAGAAACTTTTGGAGAATATTTTTAAAATTGATATTATGTGTATTGATGAATCAGTTTTGAATACATAAAAGTTGGTTTAAACTTCTGAATGAAGTGGGAGTAATCTGTTTACGAGTGTAAACTATCTATCCGAATGTGAGTTATTTAAGAACTATCTAATTTAAATTATTCTTAGTTCCGAGCGAGAGTTAAGAACTATTTAATTTCAATGATTATTGGTTCAGAAATCCGGTGGAGAAATTTGAAGAAAGTGATGGATAGTATATATAGAGTATAGAATTTCAGCCTAATTTGAGACGTGGTGGAAGTTCTAATTAGACATTATGTTTATTGAGAACATTCATGTTCTTAAAAACTAAATGAAAGACTAATGAGTATATGATAAATAAAACTCATTTTTTAAAGAAAGGTTATACTTAATATGAGTATATTAAGTCCGACAAATTTTTTTTAGCAGTGAGATTTACTTCTATATGTTGATGCTAACCATGATAGTGTGTTTAAGTTTAGATTACACCAAATAGACTTATAGGCTATATTTTCATTTCCAATTGAGAATTGATTGAAGAGATCTACATGAATCGATTTGTAGGTTTTATGTTAAAGGCTTCTACAGTATTAGGGTAACGTCTGAGTTACACTTGTAGCTTAATGCAGTCATCTTGACACTGGTACTTGAGTTTTAACATGATTTAAATCTCGTACAAAATTTCATCATGTGGATGAAGTTTATTGTGATGTTGATGACGTTAATTTTTTAGATGAAGGACTTGTGTTTAGCAAATTATATATTTTGTGTTAAAAAGATTATTCTAATTTTGTTTCTCTGTCACAAGAGATATACATAAAGATTCTAGAATATTTTTAACTGTGGAATTGCTATCCTGTTAATGCTCCTATGTCGAAAGGTGGTCATATGAGTTATCATGTATGTTCAAGGACTCCATAAGTGCACAAAGAAATATCCAGAGAACCATATCTAGTATGATTAGGAGTTACAAGTATGCTATAATGTATACTTACCCTAATATTTGTCATGCCATAGATTTAGTCAGAAGGTATTGATGTTGTCCTTAGAAAGGATATTGTGATACCCGAAGAGGTTGCTGTTTATTATTTCATTTGTTGTAGAATGAATAACTTGT